TAATGGTCCCAAAGTGCAAGAGGAGTGATTTTGGTCAAACAGAAGCCATAAACTACTTCCTTTATAAATCATTTCACATCATTCCAGGAAGAAGGGTAAGTACACTATAACAAAATATTTTGAGAACACAAGACAGAGACCACATTCGTATAACTTTTATTATACTGTTATAATTATTGTTTTATTTTTAGTTGTCATTGTTAACCTCTTACTGTGCCTAATTTATAAATTAAAACTTTATTATAGGTGTACATGTAAAAGAGAAACACAGTATCCACAGGGTTTGGTGCTAGCCGTGCTTTCAGGCATCCACTATCCACTGAGGGTCTTGAAATGTAACCCCCGCAGAAAAGGGAGACAAGAAAAGGGGTATAAGAGCAGAAATGAAATTTACTCTAGGGGCTCAATGGTGGATATGAATTAGCAGGAAGAACTTATGAATTTAAAGACAGATCAGCAGAAATTAAGCAATCTGAAGAACAGTTTTAGTATAATTTTTTAACTCCCCAAAATTTGCCAGTAACATAAATACATGATTAACACATTTTGTTTTATGTACATGAATTATATATGGCAAAAATGTGTAAGAACTGTAGGGTTATTACTTTACATTTAATTTTAATTTTTAATTGGCAAAATATGGCTTATAATATTATAATTCTATACATGTACACACTGTAGTAATCAAATCAGGGTATTTGACATTTCTAGCTCTTCAAATGCTATCATTTCTATGTGCTGAGAATCCTCAACTCATTGTTTTTTTTGTGAAATGTATAATTATTACAGACTTCAGGTACCCTAATGTGCTTCAGAACACATTATATCTACTCCCCTGCAAGTGTATTTTGATACTCATTATCCACCTTCTACCTCCTTCCCCTCTACTCTTTCTATCCTCTAGGAATCTCTACTCTACTCTCTGTATGTGATCAACTTTGAGAACATGCTATTTGTCTTTCTATGCCTGGCTTATTTCACTTAACAGTTCCATCCATATTGCCTCAGCATTTCATCTCTTTTTATGGCTGAATAATATTCCATCGTGTACATATATCATGTTTTCTTTATATACACATTCATTGTTGGACATCTCAGTTGATTTCATATCTTGGATATTGTTGTGAATAGTGCTGTAATAAACATGCAAGTACAGGTATCTCTTTGACATGTATTTCACTTCCTTTGGATATATTCCTAGTAATGGGATAGCTGGATCACATGGTATCTCTGTTTCTAGTTATTGAGGAACCTCCATATGTTTTCCATAATGCCTGTACTAATTTATATTCCCACCAACAATGTATGAGAGTTCCCTTTTCTCCACATTCTTGCCAGGCTTGGTATTGTCATTTTGATAATAGCCATTCTACGTGGAGTGACAAGACGATCTCATTGTGGCTTTGATTTGCATTTCCTTGGTGATTAGGATTTTGAGCATTTTTTTTCATATACTTGTATGTTTTCTTTTCAGAACTGTTTAATTCAGATGATTTTCTTTTTTGCTTATTTGTATGCAGTGCTGAGGATTGAACCTGGGGACTTGCTCAGGCTAGGCAAATGCTCTAGCACTGAGCTATACCCACAACCCTTGCCCATTTTTTAACTGGATTATTTAGAGTTTTTGCTGTTAAGTTCCTATCACTCAGGACACAAAAATTTCTTGCCAGATCATTAGTTTGCAAATATTTTTCCCATTCTGCAGGTTTTCTCTTGGCTCTGCTGTGCAGAAGTTTCTTAGATTCATATACTCCATTGTCTTCTTGCCTGTGTTTTCTAGAGTCTATCCAAAAAAAATCCTTTGCTTATATCAATGTCTTGAAGTGTTCCCCGCTCTGGTTTCTTCTACTAGTGTCATAGTTTCAGGTCCTACTTAGTTTTGGTCCTGATTCATTTTGAGTTCACTTTTTGTATATGGTCTAGCTTCATTCCTTCTGCACATGTATGTCTAGTTTTCCCAGCACCGTTTACTGAAGGGACTGTCCTTTCCCCAGCGTATGCTCTTGGCACTGTGATATGATTTAAGAGAGGTGAACTGCTCATTTGGAGTTGATTATAAAGTAGCATGGCAATTTAGGCAGGTACTTGTTGCCATTGCAACAAGAGATAGTTATAAAATTATTACAGTGGTACAGTAAGTACTAGTTAATTTTATGCAGTTATGCTCTAATACTGCAATTTTACATTTCTTGTTTGGTGTGTGTGTGTGTGGTACTGGAGATGAACATGATCTCAAACTTGCTAGGCAAGCACTCTATCTCTTGGATTTTGGCCCTAGCCCGTTTGTTTGTAGATAGGGTCTTGATAGTTATGTCCAGGGTGGTCTCGAACTCAAAATTCTGCCTTTTCTTCTCTGGGATAACAGGTGTATGCCATTACACTCAGAAAATTTTAATTTTATAATTTCTGTATATTTTATGTATATAGATTTCTGTATATTTTATGATAATAAATGATAAAACAGACTGTTACCTACATATGTTTTAGGCATTCATGATATATCTTTTTAATTTTTTGTTAATTTTAGGCTACACAGTTTGTGAATTTTTTTCAATTTGTCATAAATCTCTAAAAAAAAAAATCTGCATAAGTGAACCCATGCAGTTCAAACTTGTTCAAAGATCAACTGTACAATGAACAGAGGCTCAGAGAAATATGAGACAATTAAGTACACAAATATACACATAATAAGAATATAAGAAGAGGAAGGAAAAGGAACAGAAAAAAAAAATTCAAAAAAAAGGCCAAAAACTACCCAAATTTGATAAAAATAATTAGTTTCTATATGAAAAAGCTCAATAACGTTCCAAGAGTATAAAAGCAAAGAAGACTGCTCCCAGATACATCACAGTAAACTGGTGAAGACACAAACTACAAGAAAATCTTGAAAGAAGAAAGAGAAAAATAGCCTGTCATATACAAAGGACCCCAAGTAAGAGTAAAAGTTGACTTGTGATCAGAAACAGTTGAAGCCCCAGGGCAGTTGGATAGCATCAAGTGCTAAAAGAACAAGCTGTTAAACAAAAATCTTTTATTAAGAAAAACTCTGTCAAAAATGAAGCCAAAAGAAAGACATTCCAAATAAATAAAAGCCGAAAGAATTTATAGCTAGCAGATCTGGTATTTTTATAAGAAATACCAAGGGAACTTCTTCTGCATGAGGGGAAAAATACAGCAGCACAGATAAAAGTAATTAGTGATTAGAAAACGCAACATGATAGCATCTTTCTTTTCCTTTCTTAAATTTAAGATTTAAAAAGCAGCTGTATACAGCAACTGTATGTATATATAATTGCATTGTTGGGCTTGTAACATACACAAATGCAATATATTTGGTAATAACACAAAGAGGGAAGATGGAGGCAAGATGTATTGGAGTAAGAATGTGACACCAGATGGCAACTCAAATCCACAAAAAGTAAGAGAACTAGAAACAAGTTAAGAAGATACCGTAACAAACTATAAATAACCTTTTTTCTTAACTCAGTTTCTTTAAAAGAGGTAAAATTATATAAAATAATTATAACAATGTATCAATAGGTTTCTAGTTTTATATTTATATATACACAAACAAAATATGTATAACAATATAGCACTATAAAAGGAAGGTGGAAATATAGTACTCAAAAAGAGCAGAGGGAAGAGCTACTTAGAACTAAAATGTCTATTTTACTCAAGTTAGTGTAAATCTAAAGTTGACTGTGATAACTTAATATATAGATAGACAGATAATAGGCTATAAAGGCTTTTTAGTAAGAACTAAAAAAAGTGAAAAACATTAAAGGGATCAAAATATGACACTAGAAAATATTCACTAATGCAAAAGAAAGCAGTGATGGAGGAACAAAATATGACATGATAGAAAAAAGTAAAAAGGAAAAAGCATAGGTAAATCCAACTATGTCAATAATATTAAATATGAACAGATGAAATAATATAATCAAAAGGTAGAGTGTCACATTAAATAAGATCCAACTACATGTGTCTATAGAGGACATACTTTCTGTCAAAGACAAACTAGTTTGAAAGTAAAGTGATAAGAAATGACACATGCAAACAACCATTACAAGAATTACATTGTATTTCTCTTTGGAAATCATGTGGGTAAGCAGAAATATTAATTCCTACAGGATTCTGTTTGGATTAGAAACTGTATTCAATCAGGTATTTTGCTGGCCCAGATATTTCCTCTTTTGGATGCTCAGAGGGAATGTCAATTTAAAAAATTATAAAAAAACAAGAACAAAGAGGTTAGAATAGATTCCCTAATTTGAGTGTACATAATAACCACCCAGAGATTCCTAAAATCCATACTCAAAAAAATGTGATTAAGCAAGACTGGGTTAGGCTCTGGAATCTCCATTTTGTTTGGGTATTTTGTTTTTTTGGCAGCACAGGCGTTTGAATTCAGGGACTTATGTTTACTAGGCAGGCACTCTTAACACCTGAGCCACTCTGCCAGCCCAGTTTTGTAATGGGCTTTTTCAAGATAGGGTCTCATGATCTATTTGCCTGGGGCTGGCTTTGAACTGTGAAACTCCTGATCTCTGTCACTTGAGTAGCTAGGATTACAGGTGTGAGCCACCAGCACCTGATCCTTGGTGCCTGGCCCTTGTTTCTACTTTTTGACAGTTTAAATAATCTACATATAAGTGATCAATATACGTAACAATCCCTAGAACACTATGAAAGGTTTCAGTATCTAAGTAACTATGTGTCTTATAGGATCCAACTGCTTTTGAAGAAACGCTCAGGAGCATATGTGTGTTTAGGCTAACTTTGGTCAGTGTGATACTACTGATGATAAACAATTTTGATCAGAAATCCAACTCTAGGGTGTTGATCATCAAGATACTGAGAAAATCTCTGTCTTGACAGGTACTACGAAGGAAGATGAGAGACAGGGACAACCTTCACAACTGTAAAATAATGCAAGCCACCAAACTAATGTATGTACTAACAAATTAGCTGTATAAAAAAAAAAACTAGATTTTTCTTACCTATATCCATCGGTCGTTCTGCATTTAAACTATCCGTGCTGCCTTGGTGTCCACCTAAAGGTGCTTTCACTTGCTGATCTGATAACTTTCCAGTACTGACAGATCTAAAAAGAACAGTGATTGTCAGTAATGGGAAAGTACACTTTGTAAAAATAGGTAGTTTAACAGGAAGTCAGACTACAAGGAAACAAAAAATAGATGCCAAACAATTCAGGGTAGATAAACTTCCATAACCAAAATAAAAGGCAGAAACAGCATATTCAACAAGTTCAGGAAGAGTTCTGTATTTACAGTCATAGGAAGCATCTGGGATTGCAGACATTCTCAATGTACCTGGTACATATTATTATTAATCATATGGCATAAACCAGCTATTAAATTAATGTGGTCTGGTTGCTTTTATAATAGAAATACATTTATTCTGCTAACAGTTTCCATGTTAAAGTTAGAGAGGAAACGGTGTTTACCTGCCAAATACTGTCTTGCTCTGCTGCTCAGACCGATGCCTCTCATTTCCTTGTACTAACAGGCAATGGGAACATTCACGTGGCTCACTCCCATCTTTGGAATGCCCTTCAGTAGGCCCATGACGAGGAACCAAGGCTAACAGGTTGGAAGACGCTTGTGTTTTAGGGATTTTGAAAGGAGCAGTGGTCTGAAGAAACATATGTAAGCTAGTTAATATGACATGTGAAGTGTTCACAATTGGAAGGACACATGGTATCTACTTTGGAATTAGACAAGATTCAAATACTGGCTCTTCTATTTACCTTTTCTAAAGATTAATGGGATCATGCACATAAAACATTCAAGTAAAGTACTTATACTGTGCTGGCACACAGCAAGTGCTCATTAAAATTATGGCTTTCCCTCATCATGAATTCTTCCCCAAACCCAGAAAAGGTTTAAGAAACACACCTTAGTAGGAGAGCCAATGATTGTTGGTAAAGGAGTTTTAAAGAACCAATCAGAACTCCGTGGAGATGATCCCATGTGCTTGGTGGGAGAGGTTCCAAGGCTGACAGGCCGACTGGGCTGAGGTGAATAGCTGTAGCCAGCCCCAGTGTGGGATGGACACACAGGGTCAGAGTGCTGCTTTCTAAGCTTCTGTTTGTTTTGATAGATATCAGTGAGGGTGGGGGCGCTCTGCAGTCTAGCACCCAATAAGAGAGACTGTGGTGACTGAGTCTGTGGCACTGGAGAACCTACCAACAAAATGAATGCAGTATTAGCCCATAGTAAAGAAGTATAGGAAATAAGGCAATTTTTAAAATGGGAATTCAAATGCATGTCTGATTTTTTTATGAGATGAGTTTGCCTGGCAACAGGTATTTTCTGGTATCCTTTTCAAAACAACAAGTACACTGCTGTTATTCTCAGGAGATAGAATTCAGTGATGGATATATTAGCTGCTTTTATCAGCAGTTGACAACTTAGATTAACACAAGGTATAAAGAGATCTATTTAGATAATGGTTAAAGTTAACAAAAACCACAAAGGCCTACATTGAACAGGATGACTTCTATTCTTTATATGAATACATACTTGGGTACATTAATATAATTATTCTCTTTCCTTACGTAGCAACTAAAATAAACTTTTCAACCTAGTACAACCTCTTATTTGAAAAAACAAAATAGGTAGGACAGAGGAAAGAAGATCAAAAGATAACAGACCTATTCTGGATTTTACTTTGTCTAAAATAATAAGAAAATGGATATCTTATAGGTTTAGGATGTGGCTTAAGTGGCAGAGAACTTGCCTAGGATGCTCCAGGCCCTGGGTTCAACTCAAGTACCAAAAAAAAAAAAAAAGAGAGAGAGACAGCTGGAGGCTCAAGTGATAGAGCACCTGCAGATGCAAGTAGAAACAAAGCCCTGATTTCTTTTTTTTTTATTTTAAAGATAATTTATTCAACATATTTATTAACAACTAATGATTTTAGTGAGAGTAAAAGGACTATTGCTTTTCCTTTTTTTTTATTTAATTTTTATTTACTTATATGTGCATACAATGTTTGGGTCATTTCTCCCCCCTACCCCCAGCCCCCTCTCTTAACCCGCTTCCTTCTCCACCCCCCCCCACCCGTACCCCCTCGCTACCAGACAGAAACTATTTTGCCCTTATCTCTAATTTTGTTGAAGAGAGAGTATAAGCAATAATAGGAAGGACCAAGGGTTTTTGCTAGTTAAGATAAAGATAGCTTTACAGGGAGTTGACATGTATTGCTTTCCTGTGCATGTGTATTAGCTTCTAAATTAATTCTTCTCGAACTAACCTTTTGTCTACTTCCTGGTTCCCTTCTCCTATTGGCCTCTGTCACTTTAAAGTATCTGCATCAGTTCCTCTGCATTGAGGGCAACAAATGTTATCTAGTTTTTGGGTGTCTTACCTATCCTCATATCTCCCTTGCGTGCTCTCGTTTTATCATGTGCTCAAAGTCCAATCCCCTTGTTGTGAATGCCCTTGATCTAATGTCCACATATGAGGGAGAACATAC